ATAACAATCTGTAAACCAATTAAATGTGATATTTACATATATTGATAACATATTCAAGCAAAATAAGTACATGAAATCAATTGCTCTTGTACTCTTAAAAAGTCCATGAAAGTGCAGGAAGTGATTCCAATCTCCAGAACAAACCCAAGGTTTTCAGTAGGGGCAGGAGTAAAACAATGTTTACCAGACCACAGTGGCTCTCATACTACTGAACAATCCAAAATTAGTGCACCGCTGTCCATCTTTGTAAGTCCTATTAGTTCATAAATGACCATCTTTGGAATACTTTGTATTGTGTGTATTTCTTCTTCTGTGCTTTATAGTGTGGTTGTGTTCTCACCCAAGCTCCTTGACCTTATTATTATACAGGATGTATATAGCACCAACAGTTTGCTCAGTGCTTTACAATATAAGGAAGACAGTACAATTACAATACATTCCAGTACAGAAGGAATAGGAGGGCCCTGCTCGTGGAGCTTACAATCTAAAGGAAGGGGGAAGTGATAGAAAAGGTGATAGCTGCGGGGGATGATCTGGCGGAGGTGATTCAAGTACAGTTCTTAGGTGGAGGTGGGTGCTGACCGGACATGCTGTGGTAGGGAGTTCCAGAGGATGGGAGAGGCTCTGGAGAAGTCCTGGAGGCCAGCGTGGGGGAGGAGGTGATCAGGGAGCTAGAGAGAAGGATATCATGGGAGGAGCGGAGTGGGCAATTTGGGCGGTATCTGTGGATGAGGTTGGTGATGTCGCTAGGGGCAGTGTTGTGGATGGCTTTGTAAGCTGTGGTTAGTATTTTGAATTTTATACGTTGAGTTAGTGGAAGCCAGTGGAGGGATTGGCAGAGAGGGGCAGCAGTTGTTAAGTTGGTAAGGTGTATGAGTCTAGCAGCAGCATTCATAATAGACTGAAGGAGGGATACCTTACAATTAAGTATGGTCATATATCACTCTAAACCATGTGTGTCTTCCTTTAATGTCTCCAATATGTTGAATCAGGTGATAAGATGCTTCAAATAACTCCTCAGTAGCTCCAGTTACATGTGGATAAATGAAAAACTATATGGTGCCATATTTTTATTTTTAATCAGAAAATGTTTATTAGAAAACTTATGCATGTAACACCATACATGAAAACCAATAATAAACAGGTACCATCTATAGACCACCATGATATTTCCAGCAATATCATTTGCGCTATACAGCAAAAGAGCCAAAAAAAGGAATTCAGATCAATCGTATACTCCTATTATCTAAAATCAACAGTGAGAACCTCCATAGATAATCCTGGGTAGCCCTCTGGTGCAAACTAGGAGGGATATGAGAGTAAATCAACAGGGTATATAATGAATTTTACATAGGGAGTACTCCTGGGATGCCTAGCCTCCCAGCTACCAAGTCAGGTGGGCAAAGCCAAGGGGAACCTAGCCAGGCCAACCAAATTTTATTGAACTTAACTGAGCAGCCCCTATGTTGGTAAATAGTACGCTCCAGCCATAAGGCATCACCCACATTTTTAATGCATTCATTAATGGTAGGCGGTATGTCAGACTTCACAGAATGAGTCTGAAACAGCACACACAAAAATGGCCTCTTTCGTAAAATTTTGGAATTCTAGAGTCTAAGATAACCAAAGACATTGTTTAGGGTGGCGTTAAATACACTATTCAAAGTATTAACTATCCCAGTCCAATATACGTGCAATTTGGGACAGTGCCAAAAGAGGTGTATGAGATCCCTGTGCTCCCTTTGGCACCAGCTACATGTGGGTTCTGAGAGAAAACCCATTTTAAAGAGCCTAGATGGTGTGTAGTGGGCACGTAACAAAATATACAATTGCGTCATTCATATTGGGGGGTTAATTTAGGCCAAGTGAACAGTTTGGAGTGTTGTGTCCTACTACTCCCCTGACGGTACCAACATCATTTTCCTAAATGCATGCAAGAACGTCCTGCGCTAGGAATGGGGCCCTATTCACCAAGCAGCTGACACAAAGCTCCTTACCAACAAGAGTGAATAAATATAAATATAAAGTGCAGCGCTATCCCTAAGCATACTAAATACATATAAATATAAAGTGCAAATTGACTATTCAAAGTGCTCTAAATAATACCACAAGGTACTAAACTTATGTGCAAAATTGTGCATTTATAAAAATTGTGCAACCAGTGTATTCCAAAAATGAGAATAAAGTGCAATTAGTGACAATCAAAATCACTGCAACCATCTGTTATAAATGATAATAGGTCCAAAGAAAGATTAAAGTGTCCAAATGCAACAAAAAAGACTTTCAATCTTCATGCATGTGTCACATGTGTCCACACTGTGTGAATCCAAACTTTAGCCGTGATCAATCATGATTGATTTCTATGCAGAGCTGCACCAGATTTTGCACTCTCCAGTTTTAGATTACACTATGTGAGTCTTTTTGTTTGTATATGAAAACCGAGGAGGAGACTGCTGATAGAGTATAAGAGGCGGGGGAGGTCCTGGTGAGCTATTAAAGTGGTGTCCTGTTTCAAAGCGAGCTGACCCTGTGGGGTCTTGGCAAGGAGGTGAGGGGCCATCACGGCTAAAGTTTGGATTCACACAGTGTGGACACATGTGACACATGCATGAAGATTGAAAGTCTTTTTTGTTGCATTTGGACACTTTAATCTTTCTTTGGACCTATTATCATTTATAACAGATGGTTGCAGTGATTTTGATTTTCACTAATTGCACTTTATTCTCATTTTTGGAATACACTGGTTGCACAATTTTTATAAATGCGCAATTTTGCACATAAGTTTAGTACCTTGTGGTATTATTTAGAGCACTTTGAATAGTCAATTTGCACTTTATATTTATATGTATTTAGTATGCTTAGGGATAGCGCTGCACTTTATATTTATATATAAACATCATTTTCCTATTTCCCCATTGCACTAGGAGGGAACACCTCCAGATAGCAAAATCAATCCTTTGGAAGTGTCACAAGATTATATACAATTAAAAACAGGAGTGGGGCACATCCTCCATTCACACTGAAAATCCTAAGCGTTAATTGCATGGTGAAGCTAAAGGTACTGATAATGTGCATTTAAAGGTAGGGATAATTGAGCACGGAGCTCTGGGAATGATGACAGAGTGCCACTGTAGAAAATATGAAAGCGGTATGTAATACCATGAGCTTGCCATCTGTCAGGGCTCCGGGGTGTGACCAGAGGTATGTGACTGACGCAGGGAAACGCAGGCTTCAGATAAGTTATAAACAATATAATTTATTAAAGACTAACAATACAAACATAAACGCAGTGCAATACTAAAACATAACACAGTGCAAACGAACCAAACCAAACCACCCACAGATAACAGTGCATACAATGCAAGCGTCGTCAGGCAGGCCGGGTCAATAACAATCGGGCAGGTAGGTACATGGGGTCAGGCAGAGAATGGTTGGGGTCACAAGCCAGGGATGAAGCAGGAGAAATCAGCAGAGGTCCGGATCAGGCAGGGTCAGCAACGAATCAGACAGAGACAGGAACAGGAATGCAGGAACAAGATACAGGGCCCAGGAAAAACACACACCAAGGCAGAGACTGCAGGTCTGGCCATCCCTTAAATACATCTGCATGATCAGCTTCAGGTGTTTGGCTGGCTGCAGGGTTGAGTCTCTGATTGCCGGGAGCACCCGCTGGCCAGCCCTGGTACTGCAGCCCACAAGGCAGGTGAGTCCCACCATTACTGGCAAGTCCATTCCTGACAGTACCCCCCCCCCCCCTCAAGGAGCGGACTCAGGACGCTCCAAACAGTCCTAGGCAAAATGTTCCACCGCCCGGGTCTGGTAACTGGCGGGATATCAAAGACTGGCACATCGGGCTGGACTCCGGGCAGCGGCACACCGGGCAGGACTCCGGGCAGCGGCACTCCGGGTAGAGGCACATCGGGCAGGACTCCGGGCAGCGGCACATCGGGCAGGACTCCGGGCAGAGGCACATCGAGCTGGACTCTGGGCAGGACTCCGGGCAGAGGCACATCGAGCTGGACACCGGATCACCAGGCGGAGCAGCAGGCGCCGGGCCACCAGGCGGAGCAGCGGGCGCCGGGCCCCCAGGCGGAGCGGCGGGCGCCGGGCTCCCCGGCGGAGCAGCGGGCACCGGGCCCCCAGGCGGGGCGGCGGCGCGCCGCCGGCCCCCAGGCGGGGTGGCGGGCACCGGGCCACCAGGCGGGGCGGCGGGCACCGGGCCCTCAGGCGGGGCGACGGGCATCGGGCCCCCAGGCGGGGCGACGGGCCCCCAGGCGGAGCGGCAGGCGCCAGGTCCCCAGGAGGGGCGACAGGCATCGGGCCCCCAGGCAGGGCGACGAGCGCCGGGCCCCCAGGAGGGACGGCAGACACCGGGCCCCCAGGCGGAGCGGCGGGGCACCGGGTCATCAGGCACGACAACGGGCATCGGGTCACCAGGCATCAGGTCATTTGGCTCGCCAGCGGGCACCGCGTCATCTGGCAAGGCAGTGGGCACCGAGTCACCAGGCACGACAGTGGGTTCCGAGTCAACTGGCATGACCACGGGCACTGGGTCAGACATTGGGTCGTCTGGCTCGACAGCAGGCATCGGGTCACCAGGCATCAGGTCATTTGGCTCGACAGCGGGCACCGCGTCATCTGGCAAGGCAGTGGGCACTGAGTCACCAGACATGACAGTGGGCTCTGAGTCAATTGGCACGACAGCGGGCACCGGGTCATCAGGTACCGGATCGTCTGGATCGACAGCAGGCACCGGGCCATCTGGCGTTGGATCGTCTGGCTCGACAGCGGGCACTGCGTCATCTGGCAAGGCAGTGGGCACCGAGTCATCAGGCACGACAGTGGGCTCCGAGTCAACTGGCAAGACCGCGGGCACTGGGTCAGACATTGGATCGTCTGGCCCGACAGCGGGCATCGGGTCACCAGGCATGACAGCAGGCACTGGGTCATCAGGCATGGGATTGTCTGGCTCGACAGCGGGCATCGGGTCACCAGGTATGACAGCGGGCACTGGGTCACCAGGCATCAGGTCATTTGGCTCGCCAGCGGGCACCACGTCATCTGGCAAGGCAGTGGGCACCGAGTCACCAGGCACGGCAGTGGGCTCCGAGTCAACTGGCATGACCGCGGGCACTGGGTCAGACATTGGATCGTCTGGCCCGACAGCGGGCATCGGGTCACCAGGCATCAGGTCATTTGGCTCGACAGCGGGCACTGCGTCATCTGGCAAGGCAGTGGGCACCGAGTCACCAGGCACAACAGTGGGCTCTGAGTCAATTGGCACAACAGCGGGCACCAGGTCATCTGGCGCTGGATCGTCTGGCTTGACAGCGGGCATCGGGTCACCAGGTATGACCGCGGGCACTGGGTCATCAGGCATTTGATTGTCTGGCTCGACAGCGGGCATCGGGTCACCAGGCATGACAGTGGGCACCGGGTCATCAGGTACCGGATCGTCTGGCTCGACAGCGGGCACTGGGTCATCAGGCGTGATAGGATCATCAGGCTGGATCAGTTCATCAGGCTGGGTACAGGCATCAGGCTGGGTACAGGCATCAGGCTGAAGTGCGGGTGCCGAGGCACCAGGCTGAACCACGGAAGGTGGGTTCTCAGACGGCAGGCTCACCGGTTTGGATACTGGCAGGATGGTACTGGTTGGAAAGAATTTCCGCTTTTTTCTGGTTTTAACTACTGGGGCACTGCAAGTAAACGCATGTCTGCAAACGAATAAAGCAGCTGAGGACAGAGAAGAGCTGGAAGATGGAACAGAGGAGGGAGCAGTTGCTACAGAGAACTTCTTTACAGGGTTAAAGAAAGGATAGGTGCAGCGAGTGGGAGCAGAGGACTGGTATGTGGTAGTTAGAGTATACTGGGCAGTCACTGGGGGTGCTGTCAGGGATGCAGGAAGAATGCCTTGAGTGGAGGAATGATGTTGTAAGCTGACTGAGGCGTGCAACAAGTCTGACCATGTCTGCAGTATGGGTTGAACAAAGCTCAGTTTACACAAAGCCTGTCTGGTCAATGACTGCACTGCGTTTATACAATCTCTTAGTACCTGTTGTGAACATGCAGAATAACGCTCCAGAAAGTAATCCACATCATCCTCTAATAACCATACCAGGGACTCTACCTGGTCGGCACTAAATGGCGGCAAAAATTCACCCCTGCATTCGGGGGTACCAGATGAAACCAACTCAGCACAAACCTGAATCAATGGCTGCACCTCAGAGAACTCTGTGCCCTGATCTACTAGGCAATGAGCGATCCGTATACATTCTAGCAGTTCATCCCTGGGATACTCCTTCAGAGTTTGATAAGTATACTCTCTGTCATCAAACACTAGCAGAGATAAATACACAACCTCATCAAGATCCATCCTTCCCAGCAACAAGCCAAGATGGCTTCCCTGTGCAGCCACTTCTGGTCAGGATTGGCCTTGGTGTAATGTCAGGGCTCTGGGGTGTGACCAGAGGTATGTGACTGACGCAGGGAAACGCAGGCTTCAGATAAGTTATAAACAATATAATTTATTAAAGACTAACAATACAAACATAAACGCAGTGCAATACTAAAACATAACACAGTGCAAACGAACCAAACCAAACCACCCACAGATAACAGTGCATACAATGCAAGCGTCGTCAGGCAGGTCGGGTCAATAACAATCGGGCAGGTAGGTACAGGGGGTCAGGCAGAGAATGGTCGGGGTCACAAGCCAGGGATGAAGCAGGAGAAGTCAGCAGAGGTCCGGATCAGGCAGGGTCAGCAACGAATCAGACAGGAACAGGAATGCAGGAACAAGATACAGGGCCCAGGAAAAACACACACCAAGGCAGAGACTGCAGGTCTGGCCATCCTTTAAATACATCTGCATGATCAGCTTCAGGTGTTTGGCTGGCTGCAGGGTTGAGTCTCTGATTGCCGGTAGCACCCGCTGGCCAGCCCTGGTACTGCAGCTCACAAGGCAGCTGAGTCCCACCATTACTGGCAAGTCCATTCCTGACACCATCGTTTACCAAATTGCAACCTATTTAGTTAAGCATAGTTGCCATTGTGCCATATCAGGCTGAACCCAGTGAATCCCATAACCTTTTGGAGTTGTTTGGTCTTGTTCCAAATTTTTTGTTGAAGTGCATAATTAGGGAACAGTGAATTGGGCTTGCTGAAGGTTAACCCAGAGCACATGTTCTGTTGCTCCAGTATATTGTAACAAAATTTTAAGTAGTAGTTGGGCCACGAAGGTTATCAGCACTAGACAGCCCATCAACCATACAGTATGCTAAAGCTGGTAATAATAATAGCTGGTAATGGGTAATAAATCCATGGGTCTGGCAGAGCCAACCCCCGCTCCCCCCCCCATCTTTAGGTCTCTGGAGCTGCTCCAGTTTTATTCTACATCTGTCGTTAAATAGCAGCTTATGAAAAATGGAATTAATTACTCTGAAAGTTTTCAAGGGAATGACGACTGGGGTTTTGTGTAAAAGATATAGCTGCACCATGAATATCATTTTAATTATATTCGTTTTTCCATAAAGGGATACATTTAAAATGTTCCAAATCTTTATACAAATAATATCTTTCCGATACTCCCTCATCTACCCCCACCAGTGTAAAACATAAACCAACTAAATGTCCACATATAAGTCCAAAATAAAGTGCTTTTCAATAAATGGTGCTTTTCAAACGTTGAGGAATATTCCACTTCGCTGAATTTCAGTCCAGGACCTCAAATCAGGATACCTCAAAAAAATATAAACTCAATATAGTGTATTATCATTACAACAGAACACTCGTGAGAACTAAAGGTGATCCTCCTGGACTCCCACCCGTGATAAAAAAAAACACTCCAAAATGTGATACAGTGCAACACTCCACACCAGTGTTACCATCAAAATAAACTAAATCCCATTATCCTCTGATAAAACCATGCATCCAAATGAGATAGTGCCATCTCTCTTATAATATAAATACTATTACCCTCTTTCAATGTAGACCAAGCAAAAAACTCCTTCAAGGCAGTCCCGAGTTTCCCCTTCTTCGGAAGCTTCTAATTGCTTCCAATCCACCTTCCCAGTTCCTCAATAGGGGGCAGATAATACAAGACTCAATGAAGTATATATAAAAGGATTTTACAAATTTATTCGTAGCTTACATAGAAGACGCCAACGTCCATCCTCTCCCACAGTCCATACAGCTGAATTCCAGTGTTCAAGATGGCCGTGCCGCTCCTTCCGGTTTGAGATTGTATTGTACGTCCTTACGTCCTTGACGCGTTTCGTCACTTCCGACTTGTTCACAAGACCCTTGTGAACAAGTCGGAAGTGACGAAACGCGTCAAGGACGTAAGGACGTACAATACAATCTCAAACCGGAAGGAGCGGCACGGCCATCTTGAACACTGGAATTCAGCTGTATGGACTGTGGGAGAGGATGGACGTTGGCGTCTTCTATGTAAGCTACGAATAAATTTGTAAAATCCTTTTATATATACTTCATTGAGTCTTGTATTATCTGCCCCCTATTGAGGAACTGGGAAGGTGGATTGGAAGCAATTAGAAGCTTCCAAAGAAGGGGAAACTCGGGACTGCCTTGAAGGAGTTTTTTGCTTGGTCTACATTGAAAGAGGGTAATAGTGCCATCTCTCTTATAATATAAATACTATTACCCTCTTTCAATGTAGACCAAGCAAAAAACTCCTTCAAGGCAGTCCCGAGTTTCCCCTTCTTTGGAAGCTTCTAATTGCTTCCAATCCACCTTCCCAGTTCCTCAATAGGGGGCAGATAATACAAGACTCAATGAAGTATATATAAAAGGATTTTACAAATTTATTCGTAGCTTACATAGAAGACGCCAACGTCCATCCTCTCCCACAGTCCATACAGCTGAATTCCAGTGTTCAAGATGGCCGTGCCGCTCCTTCCGGTTTGAGATTGTATTGTACGTCCTTACGTCCTTGACGCGTTTCGTCACTTCCGACTTGTTCACAAGGGTCTTGTGAACAAGTCGGAAGTGACGAAACGCGTCAAGGACGTAAGGACGTACAATACAATCTCAAACCGGAAGGAGCGGCACGGCCATCTTGAACACTGGAATTCAGCTGTATGGACTGTGGGAGAGGATGGACGTTGGCGTCTTCTATGTAAGCTACGAATAAATTTGTAAAATCCTTTTATATATACTTCATTGAGTCTTGTATTATCTGCCCCCTATTGAGGAACTGGGAAGGTGGATTGGAAGCAATTAGAAGCTTCCGAAGAAGGGGAAACTCGGGACTGCCTTGAAGGAGTTTTTTGCTTGGTCTACATTGAAAGAGGGTAATAGTATTTATATTATAAGAGAGATGGCACTATCTCATTTGGATGCATGGTTTTATCAGAGGATAATGGGATTTAGTTTATTTTGATGGTAACACTGGTGTGGAGTGTTGCACTGTATCACATTTTGGAGTGTTTTTTTATCACGGGTGGGAGTCCAGGAGGATCACCTTTAGTTCTCACGAGTGTTCTGTTGTAATGATAATACACTATATTGAGTTTATATTTTTTTGAGGTATCCTGATTTGAGGTCCTGGACTGAAATTCAGCAAAGTGGAATATTCCTCAACGTTTGAAAAGCACCATTTATTGAAAAGCACTTTATTTTGGACTTATATGTGGACATTTAGTTGGTTTATGTTTTACACTGGTGGGGGTGGATGAGGGAGTATCGGAAAGATATTATTTGTATTTTGTTTACACTTTCAAGGGTGAGAGTGATACTTTTCGGAGGGAAAGTTAGAGTCTATAATATATTTGTTCCAAATCTTTGTTTTGTCTAAAACAGTTGAGAAGGGGGCCTATGTTATTACAGCAATAGGCCGTTAGATCTGGAGTAATTAAAATAGCTATGTATTTAAAGGAAGTAGTAGTTAGAGTTCAGCAGAAAGGAGTTGTGGCCTGATCTGTATCCCCATCCAGGGCATCAGGGATGACTTACTCCAATTAATTTTTAAGCCACAGAAACTACAAAAGTTTGAGACAGCATGCATTTCTTCCTGTAGGGAGGGTGTGGTGTCCTTCAGCATTAGCAGCAAATCATCTACATAAAGCAGAATTTTGTTTTGGAAATCACCATAACAGAAACCCACAATGCCTGGATGTGCTCAGATCAGAACCACAAGAGGCTCTATAGCTATAGCTGAAAAGGATGAGATATCGTACCTGCTTCCCAAATAACTGCTTGGGGGCTGTGATAAAGGAGCTGGACTTGAAAAATAAAATTGTCCCCAAACCTGGCTAGCACTGCCCATAAGTATCTCCACTTGACGCTGTCAAAAGCTTTGGCAGCGTCGAGGGATAACAAGGCCTTCTGATCCCATATTGTCAGAAGGGGTTTGCATATTTACAAACCGCCTCCTCAGGTTGATGGCTGTAGATTTAGTGGGCATAAATCTCGCCTTGTCTGGGTGGATGACATCAGATATAACCTTGTTCCACCCAAGTGTCAGTACTTTTGCTAATATCTTAAATTAGAACTATAGGCAAAACTTTTTTTTTTCCTTTCCATTTTGGACAGAGTAAGGGAAAGTTATAACCCCTGTCAGTTTATTTTTTTGCCATCTTCATCTCATTGAGGAGCATCACCTTCACAAGTGAGAGAAAATTCCTGCAAATTAAGAGAATTCCTTGGGGACCCCCAGGTCACCAGAACTAGTGTCCCCATTGTATAAGTTCCCCTTCATTACTTTTCTGAGGACAACCCAAAATTTGGGTTTTTTTACTTTCAATGACAATGGTAAAAAGGACAAATGGGGTGAATCTCCTTAACAGTGGCAGAGACTGCAATAAAAACAAAAGCAGGTGTTCTAATCCATCTCCACTCTATCCAAAATTAAAAAAAAAAAAAAAGTTTTGCCTTTTAGTTAAATTTAACATCTGATTGAAGAAGTGAGATTGGCCTATACAAACTCTGGTCAGGTTTCAATAGCAAAACAGTTGCAGCATTAAACACCCTGTCAGGGATCCAACCGCGATCGCCTCTAGCACTCCACAGACCGGATTCCCCCAAGGCGCGGAATCTAAGCTCCAACCTGCTTGTTCACCAGGGCCCCTGATGGTGGGGATGGACTTGGAGCAGGCCGAGACCAGGTCGCGGCCCCTGGGTTCACCCAGCTGTAGTAGAAGCACCATTGGAGGTGTATAGCAGGTGAGAGTCTGATGTGAGGAGGTAACAGGAGCAGCGTCGGGCAAGCCGGGTCAGTAACAGTGGTGGCGGCGTAGTACAAAATCAGCAGGCAGAGGGATAAACGGGTCACAAGCCGGGTTCGTTAACAGGAGGTCAGAACGTACAGGGTTAAGCAGGAGAATGGTCAGACAAGCCAGGGATCAGAGCAGGAGACGGACAGCAAATCAGAGTCAGGCAGGGTCAGCAACAAAACAATCTACAATCAGGAACTTCAGGAAAACAGGTAAGACCATATGGCATTTGAGCATTGCAAGAGCCGGGTTTAAATAGCCCACCCGACTCCTGACAGGCGCACCTGGGTCCTAGTGCTTGCCCGGCGCCGTCATTGTTGACAGGCGCGCCTGGGTCCTAGTGCCCGCCTGCCTGTATGTTTTGTCAGGATTCTACGCATGTGCAGATTCGATTGCCGCGGCGATCTTACCATTCCCTGACATTGCCCCCCCTTACGGGCAGCCTCCGGATGCCCACCCGATTCCTCCTTTGAGGCTGGTTACGTAGGAATTCCCGCATTAAGCTGGGGGCAAGGATATTCTGGGCAGGTTCCCATGAGATTTCCTCCGGCCCATAGCCTTTCCACTTGATTAAATATTGTATCTGACCACCCCTCCTCCTACAATCCAAAATTGCTTCCAGCTCGAATTCTTCCTTCTCGTTGATATCTATGGCTTCTGGAGGTCTAGACCTGCGGTCTAAAAAGGGATCTGGAACTGCAGGTTCTAATGATACATGGAAGACTGGATGTATCTTGAGAGATTCAGGGAGAGCCAGTTTAAACGCTACTTCATTAATCTTGCGCTCTACTTGGAAGCGCCCCACAAATTTGGGTGCCAATTTTCTGGATGGGCAAGTCAGTTTTAGGTTGACCGTTGATAACCAAACCCGATCCCCAGGGTGTATAACCAATTCTCCCTTTCTCCTCCTGTCACAGAACCTTTTACTGTCTTCTTGGGCCTTAGCCATTGTTTCCTGTAATAGCTTGTTATAGGTAGTGAAGAATTCTAAGGTGTCCTGGGCTGCCAGGAATGAGTTCTCAGGAACCAGGTCTGGCAGGAAGGTAGGATGGAACTCATAATTAGCGAAGAATGGAGATTGGTTGGTGGCGGAATGATTTGCATTATTATATGCGAATTGCACCATGTGTAGAAGTGTCAGCCAGTCATCCTGTAGAAAAGATGTATAGCATCTCAGATATTGCGCAAGCGTCTGATTGGTTCACTCTGTCTGCCCGTTTGTCTGGGGGTGATATGCTGACGAGAAAGATAACTTAATATCCAGCCCCTCACATAACGCTTTCCAGAATCTGGAAGTAAACTGCACTCCCCAGTCCGAGACAATATCTTTTGGCACTCCGTGAACCCTCACAATCTCTTTAATGAATACTTGGGCTGTTTCGGAGGCCGATGGTGTCTTGGCTAGTGGAAGAAAATGGGCCATTTTAGAAAGGCGGTCCACTACCACAAACATCACAGTGTGATCTCGGGAGGGTGGCAATTCAACAATAAAATCTAAAGAGATCATACTCCAGGGTCCGTCAGGTATTGGTAAAGGTTTCAATAGGCCCCAGGCCTTGTCTCTGGTGGGTTTATTTTGGTTACAGATGGGGCAAGATTTCACGTAGCTTCACAGTCCTTGGCCATGTTTGGCCACCAAAATGTACGTCGTGTCAGATCTAAGGTCTTATGTATCCCGAAGTGTCCCGCTGGGGGATAGTCATGGCAGAAACCTAACACCAGGGACTGGACCTCCTTGGGTACCACGATCTGTTTCCCCCCTCCAAAAAAGACCCTCCTTGTTCAGCCGGGTTCCAGGCAGGTCAGGAACCCAGTTGGAAGCAGCCTGCAATTTAGACAATAGTTTTGACTACAGCAATAGAAAGCTACCTGCCGGCAGGATGGTGTCTGGCTGGGGCAGCTCTCTAGGATCCTCAAACATCCGAGAAAGAGCATCAGGCTTAATGTTCTTTGATCCAGGACGATACGTTATGTGGAGATTAAATCTCGTGAAAAACAGTGCCCATCTGGCCTGGCGTGAACGGAGGCGTTTGGCTGTTTTAAGGTTTTTGTGGTCAGTATAGACCAGAATGGGGTGTAGGGCCCCCTCTAGCAGATGTCGCCATTCCTCCAGAGCAGTCTTAATGGCCAGTAACTCCCTATCCCCAATATCGTAATTCCTTTCTGAAGGGGATAGCTTCCTGGAAAAGAAAGCCACTGGATGCATTAGCTCCTTGGCCCCTACCCTCCTCTGTGACAATACCGCTCCTACAGCCACTTCCGATGCGTCTACCTCTAGTATGTAGGGCAGTGATGCATCAGGGTGGCTCAGAATGGGAGCCGTTGTGAACAGCTTTTTCAATGCCTCAAAAGCTGCCTGTGCAGCTGGAGTCCACTGAAAATATACTCCTACCTTGGTGAGCTGGGTAATGGGCGCTACCAGGCCTGAAAAGTTTATTATGAATTTTCTATAAAAATTGGCAAACCCAATGAATCTCTAAACTCCCTTCTTATCCGTGGGGGCAGGCCATTTCAGGATGGCCGAGATTTTTTGTGGGTCCATAGCGATTCCCATGGTGGAGATTATTAGACCAAGAAATGAAATGCTTTCCTGCTCAAAGCAGCATTTCTCGGCTTTAGCATAGAGGCCATGCTGACGGAGACGGTCCAGTACACTCTTAACATGTCCCCGATGTGCTTCCAGAGATGAGGAAAATATCAAGATATCATCCAAATAGACAATGACAAAAATATCCAGGAAATCCCTAAAAATGTCATTGACAAAGTGCTGGAAGGTAGCTGGTGCATTACATAGCCCAAAAGGCATGACTAGACACTCAAAATGTCAGAAACGAGTGCGGAACGCCGTTTTCCACTCGTCCCCCTCACGTATCCGAACCAAGTTATAGGCACCTCTGAGGTCCAACTTGGAAAAGATGGATGCCGTTTTCAACCTCTGAAACAACTCTGGGACCAAAGGAAGGGGGTAGCGGTTCTTAACCGTAATCTTATTAAGGTCCCTGTAGTCAACACAAGGTCTCAGGGACCCGTCCTTCTCAACAAAGAAAATCCCTGCCCCGGCCGGTGATGTGGAAGGGCGGATAAATCCCTTCCGGAGGCTCTCGTCTATGTACTCTTTTAGTGCTCCTAGTTCCCATTCAGATAGTGGGAAAATGCGGCTGAAAGGGATCTCGGAGCCTGGGAGCAGATCGATGGGGCAATCATATGCCCGATGTGGGGGAAGAGCCTCTGCCCCCCGTGGACTAAACACATCCAGGAATTGGTGGAAGGCCGCAGGCACCATTTGAGCTAACTCAGCCTCAGGGCTTACAGCAAACAGGGCCGGTGTATCTAGTGATGCCCTAGGTAGACAATGTTCCTGACAGTATCGTGAGTGGAACTGGACTGACTCAGTCTTCCAGTCAATTTGGGGGTCATGAGCTCGTAGCCAAGGGAGCCCCAGAATAACTGGAAATAGGGGGGACGCGATGGCGTCCAAGCGGAGAAGCTCCTGGTGATATCCCGCCACCGTGGTGTGTATAGGAGGGGTCTCCCGATCTACCGTCCCCGATTTTATTCGAGACCCATCCGCCAGGAAAATATTCACCCCATGTTCTTTGGCGAGTAACGGTATCTGATGCTGGGTAGCGAAACCGAGATCGACAAAGCAACTACAGGCCTCGGAGTCAATAATAGCCATCACCTGTATGCTTCCTCTGGGGAGCTGAAAGGACACAGGTACAGCCAAGTAAGTGGGGTTGCCTGCGCACACAGTAGATATATTAGAAGAAATAGAGGAGGACTTACAGTATTCCTCCGGACAGGAACGCACCATATGACCCGCTGCTCCGCAGTACAGACACAGGTTGTTTGCCCGACGCCTCTGTCGTTCCTCGGTAGAAAGAGTAGGCCGCATCAATCCGAGTTGCATAGGATCGGCCCCCTCTGATGGCTCTGGGCTCCGATTGCCGACACTGACCCTTGGCATGACTGGTACTCTTGGCAGCATCCATGAGGTTCTCTGCCCCTTGTTGGACCTCTCCTGTCTCCTTTCCCGCAGTCGGCGATCGATTTGGATGGCCCGATCGATTAGACCCTCCAAGGAGTCTGGGACTCCTATTCTCGCCAACTCGTCCTTCAATGGTTCTGACAGTCCCAACCGGAACTGGTGGCGTAAGGCTGCATCATTCCACTGTGTATCTCCACTCCATCGCCTGAACTCAGCGGCATAGTCCTCTGCTGCCCGGCGTCCCTGTTGTAAGGAATAGAGAGCTGCCTCAGCCGAGGCAGCTCGGTGCGGGTCATCGTACAACTGTGCCAATGCCTTAAAGAAGGTGGCAACAGTACTCAAGTGCGGGTGGTGGGCCTCCATCAGGCGATGAGCCCATCCCTGGGGTTCACCCTGCAGCAAGGATATAACAAATCCCACCTTCACCGATTCGGAAGAGAAGGTCTGGGGTTGCAGGTCAAAGTACAGCTGGTAGGAGTTTTTGAAGGCTCTGAACTTCCCTCGGTCCCCATTGAACCGCTCAGGGGTCGGTACTCTTGGCTGTGGCGGAGGGATAGTAAATGCTGCTCCAGTGGCAGGCCCCGCTGAACCCGTAGCTGGAGGCGTACCCACTGTGCCTGAAGTGGGTGCCGGTGCGGCCAAGCTCTGGACCTGTCCCTCCAGGTGCTTGTATCCCTCTTCCAGGGTCTTCAATGCTCGTGTGAGTGCCGCCAGGTGTTGGCACATCTCTTCCCAGGGTGAAAGTCCTCCTCCAGACTCTGACATGGCCGTATGGTTCTGTCAGGGATCCAACCGCGGTAGACTCTATAGCACTCCACAGACCGGATTACCCCAAGGCACGGAATATAAGCTGCGACCTGCTTGTTCACCAGGGCCCCTGATGGTGGGGATGGACTTGGAGCAGGCCGAGACCAGGTCGCGGCCCCTGAGTTCACCCAGCTGTGGTAGAAGCACCGTTGGGAGGTGTATAGCAGGTGAGAGTCTGATGTGAGGAGGTAACAGGAGCAGCGTCGGGCAGGCCGAGTCGGTAACAGTGGTGGCGGCGTAGTACAAAATCAGCAGGCAGAGGGATAAACAGGTCACAAGCCGGGTTCGTTAACAGGAGGTCAGAACGTACATGGTTAAGCAGGAGAATGGTCAGACAAGCCAGGGATCAGAGCAGGAGATGGACAGCAAATCAGGGTCAGGCAGGGTTGGCAACAAAACAATCTACAATTAGGAACTTCAGGAAAACAAGTAAGACCATACGGCATTTGAGCATTGCAACAGCCGGGTGTAAATAGCCCGCCTGACTCCTGACAGGCGCTCCTGGGTCCTAGTGCTTGCCCGGTGCCGTCATTGGTGACAGGCGCACCTGGGTCCTAGTGCCCGCCTGCCTGTACGTTTTGTCAGGATTCTACGCATGTGCAGATTCGATCGCTGTGGTGATCTTCCCATTCCCTGACACACCCCAAGTAAATGGGGCAAAATAGTATTTGCATATTTTGTTTATATCTCCATGGGTAATTCATTACCCCCAGGTGCCTTATGAGCGGGAAAAGAACTGGCAGCCTGTTGCACTTCTATTGCAATTGGGGAACCTAGGAGGCGTCTGTGGGATGTAAATAAGGTGGGAAGAGTAATATTCCGCAGATACCAATCCAAGTAGTCTTCCGTAAATGTCTGTTGTGAGCTATATAGCTCGGAGTAAAATGCAACTAACTCCTAGAGGAAAGCATGTGATTATTCACATTCTGGGCTGCCATCCATTCCTCCCTGGCTCCCACAGACGGTGAGTCTATGTATTTCCTTTGCAATTGTATCACCTGCTGTTCCACTTAATGTTCTCATTCCTTAGCGCTTTTAACCACTGCAATTTCTGTGATACATACTCCACGTAGGAGTGCCTTAAAAGTTACCCAGACTGTCATGGGGTCTGCATGCGGTGCGTGTGAGCTGAAGAACTCTAATCTGCGTGTCCACCCTTTCATGATTACGGAAAAGGTGTAGCCAGAAGGCATTTAGTTTCAAAGGGGCTTTGAGCAAATTAGCAGAGGGTGAGGTCCAAAGTTAAATAAGTAGTGAGTGGTTTGACACTCCACAGGTTAGGTACTTGCTAAAAGTTACCATCAGGGCTACGGAATGTTTTGGAAAGCGAAAGGTGGGTTTTTGAGAAGCAAGAAAATTGTCTTTCCCGTGGATATTTCAAATACCACATGTCTATCCACATGATTTCAGCTAAGTAATGTGAGAGTCCAGTACCCCCTGGGGGCCATTTATTAGGAGGGATAGGTGGGTGTCTCCAAACTGGGATCTTGATAGCTGTTGAAATCAGACTAGGAATGGAGCTGCAGGCTTTCTTGCTAGGTAAACAAAGAGTGTGTGCAACACATCTTCACTAAAAGGCGATGGAATGTAGACACTCGCTAGAATGTATGAAAAGGAGTACAGCCTACAATGCAAATAAAAACTGCGTCCTTTAGAGTCAACACAAGACAATTTTCTGAATATCAAGGGGAGCAGTGGATCAGCACACTCACACCTCTAGAAAATGTGCTGAGTGGAGTGATATGCCCAGCCTGCCCAGGAATGATTAAGGCAATTCAGAGTGTCCTTAGGTGGGTTTTCTGTAGGCCTGGATAGCAGGTTGGTGTTTACACATTGAGGTAAGAATCATGGATATTTTCGGGGGGTCATAAATACCTCTTCACGTTCCATGAGATAATTTAAATAGTTGTCATGGTGCTATCAGATAGTACTGTGGCAGCCGGAACATAGGACTCAGGGCTTCCGCCCCACAAGTACTGGCCAAGGGATGTTCCTAGCAACATTGAGAGAAAATCTGATGGCATAAAGGGAGTCCTGAACATGGGGATAAGGGTATTGACCACAGTCGTCCCATAGCAGGCAATATGATGTTACTGTATTGCAATTGTCTAAGATGGTATGCAACATAGGTAGAAGACAAGACATGGACAACAGGTCCCAATAAATGAAAGAAAAATTCCCACAAGCCGTTTGCTGCCACACACTGTCATTATGTACTCACAGTAGATGCCTTTGTATGCTGCCAACTGGACAGCATTGGGAAATATACAGTTTCTTTCGGGTGTAAAAGGAGGAAAGCAAGGCAAATCTAAACCGCACACTTCCTGTACTTCTCTAATGTCTACTGGCATATATACTTTAGCATACACAGAGCTTTAATCATATTGTAGACACAATGGTTAATGGCCCCCAGCCTGGGCACTTATGACAAAGCGCACAGTCATATAGGGTCAAGGGCAGTATACGTATTAGATGACAGCACATAGGAAGAATCAATCCTCTGCCTCAGGAACTGGGCATTGACAGAGCAATCTTTCATTTTCATCCAGCCAGTTGGAGGCATTGGTAGCTGTTGAAGTGTGCTTGGCCTCTAGCCATGATCTCGCAGGATAAAGCATGGCATACTTTAGTTACATTTTTTGCAAACATTGTTTAACAAACTTGGCTTGTTTTAAATTGCATTTCTGTGGAGGAGGAGGTGGCTTCAGATCTACGCAGCTTCTTGGCATAATAGAGGATATCTCTGGGCTGGTCTTTCCACCCAGGATGAGTGGTCTTGTTGGGCTTACCTGTCCCCACCTTGGACCTGTCTGAGGAAGAGAAGATTAGGTGCCATGTTGGCTGTTCTGCATCAATCGCTGCCTCCTTCCCTTTGCATGTCATCATCGTCCGCTGTCAGCCTGAAAAGCGGACCGGAGGATCAGGAGTCTGCAGGCTTGTGGAAGGATTTCTGGAAGACAGGTGGTTGGAGCTCTGTGAGAGACTTCTTTTCACATGCTGTGCTTTGCCACGCCCCTTCATACCTTATCCTTAAAGTAATAATATGCTCTTTACAGATTCTACTCAAATTAAAAACCACTGTTCCTTTATCCGCAACATCTCCAAAATATGTTTGTTCCTAACCCCAGACACTACTAAACAACTCGTTCACTCCCTTATTATCTCACGTCTGGACTACTGCAAGTCCCTTCTCACCAGCCTACCTCATCGCAGACTATCCCCGCTTCAGTCTATCCTGAACTCAGCGGCCAGACTTATCCACCCTACCAACCACTCCGCTTCTGCCACCCCCCTCTGTCATTCCCTCCACTGGCTCCCGATTGCCCAATGCATTAAATTCAAACTACTAACATAGACATACAAAGCCATTCATAATGCTGCCCCAAACTACGTCACCAACCTGATACCCAAATACCACCCAACCCGTAATCTTCGCTCTTCACAAGACCTCCTACTTTCTAGCTCCCTGGTCTCCACCTCCCACGCCCGACTGCAGGACTTCTCCAGGACTTCCCCCATCCTCTGGAACTCACTACCCCAATCCATCGGACTGTCACCGACCCTCCTCACCTTTAGGCGCACCCTGAAAACCCATCTCTTCAGGGAAGCCTACCCTGCCCTCACCTAACAGCCAATCTCCTCCACTCCATCCCCCCACAGCCACTCCTGTACCACTATCCCCTCCCTCCTAGATTGTAAGCTCAAAAGAGCAGGGCCCTTGAACCCCTCGTGTTTTGTTTTGTTACTGTATTGTCTCATGTTCTGTCCCCCACTATAATGTACAGCGCTGAGCAAACCTTTTAGCGGTATATAAATACTGTATAATAATCATGCAATCTGTGACAACTCCACCAGATGTGCCGTCACATGGTCACTTTCTTTTTTGTCAGCTTTAAACTACTTAGTTTGCTTCTCAATCTGGTTCTGTCCCTTTAAATTCTTCTTTCTTTCGCTCATTTACCATACCAAAAAAGAGTATGTACATAGTGTCTTATTCTTAAACTTAATTGGGCAATATCTATGTGCAGACTACTACTCACAAAAAACTGTAAAACACATGCGGCATTATCATACAATTTAGGGTTTTCACTTGCGATCATGCCCACTCCATCAGTCCCTCGCCTTGTTACTCAAATCTACAGCTTATTAGCATCAGCAGTAACAAATATCCTTTTCCTTAGGCACTCTCCAGTCTTCTACCCCACTCAACCACATGCAAGAGTCAGAGAAAGCGCAATAGTGCTTTATCCCTTTAAATCTTTATTTCTCAAATTGCCAAATTAAAACTTAAAAATATAGTCTCTCTTAACCACTTGCGTACCAGGCACTTATACCCCCTTCCTTACCAGGCCAATTTTCAGCTTTCAGCGCTGCCGCACTTTGATTGACAATTGCGCGGTCATGCAACATTGTACCCATATGAAATTTTGACCATTTTTTTTCTCACAAATAGAGCTTTCTTTTGGTGGTATTTAATCGCCACTGGGCACTTTACTTTTTGCGCTATAAATTAAAAAAAGTGCAAAAAATTTGAAAAAAAAAAAAAAAAGTTTATTTGTTTCTTTTACAAAATTTTTCAAACAGGTATTTTTTCTCCTTCACTGATTTGCGTTGATGAGGCGGCACTGATGGGCACTGATAGGCGGCACTGATGGGCACTGATAGGCAGCACTAAAGGGCACTGATAGGCAGTACTAATGAGGTGGCACGGATAGGCGGCACTGATAGACTGCACTAATTAGGGGTCACGGATAGGCGGCACTGATATGCAGCACTGATAGGCGGCACTGATAGGTGACACTGATGATGGGTACTGATAGACGGCACTGACTGGCATCACTTCTGGGCACTGACTGGCGGCACTGACTGGCACAACCCCTGGGCACTGACTGGCAGCACTGCTGGGCTGCACTGGTGGGTGGCACTGGTGGGCGGGCACAGGTGGGTGGCACTGGTGGGCACAGGTGGGTGGCACTGGTGGGCACAGGTGGGTGGCACTGCTGGGCACATGTAGGTGGCACTTCTGGGCACAGGTAGGTGGCACTGCAGAGTGGCACAGGTGGGGGCACTGCTGGGCACAGGTAGGGGCACTGCTGGGAACGGGTGGGCGGGGCTAGTGGGCGCACTGCTGGGCGGAACTTGCGGGTGTCACTGCTGGGCACCGATCATCAGGGCACTGATCATCAGTGCCCTGATGATCGGTGCCGATCCCCGCTCTGACAACTGCCGGTTCTCGGCAGTACTTTCCTCACGATCTGACAGCGTGAGGAAAGTGCAGCCGAGAACCGGCACTTGCATTTCCCTGT